TTATTGGTAAAGAGCAACATAATTTATAAACTTTGATTTTGGCTCTACTCCAGACACAAGAATCAAACGCATAAACCCAAAAATCAAGAAGATAACGCTGAATGCTACATGCCAAGAATTGAAATGTTAATCTAAATTTTGAAACCCCCAATGGTCACCAAATTTGACTGCTATTAGTGATTCACAATCAACATGTAATAAAATGATTAATAAATTTATCAAAAATTTAAATAAATCAGTTGTAATCATTTTTGGCTAAAAATAAAAGATTTTAAGTTTTAGTCACATTATATATGAGAAGAATAAAATAAAAAATGAAAGAAAATTGTCACTTATTATACAATTAAGATATAAAAAAGGAGTAATAAATTTAGTACAAAGGAAGTATGCATAAAACTCCTTTGTGATAAGTTAGTACTTTGCAGACAATAAGAGTGTGGTAAGTATAAAAAGAACACTTTTCTCTTTTTTTATTTTTTGGATTTTTGTAACAAATTTGTATAAGAAAATATAAAAATAAACATTAATTTTAGATTCAATGTCATATGAATAAATTTAATTAGATAATTGATAAATTAAATGTTATTTTTTATATTTTCAAGACTTTTAACCTATGACACAGGTTATAAAAACCCTTTTTTTTTTTTACAAAAACTCTAATATCTTGAAATTATATTGAGTTTTGATTAATTTAAAATCAAATTGTATTTAACTCCATAAGAAAAAAAAAAACTCTCAAAATACTTGTCTCTTTATTTATAAAATTTAAATTTAAAACTTTTTTAAAATAAAAATCAAGCTTTTTCTACGCAGACCAATAGATTGTTAATAGTATAATACACAACACTAATACACCTATTATTAATTAATTTTGAAAAAATATGGTTTTGTCCCAACTTATATATATATATATATATTGAACAATACTAATTATCAGAGAGAGGGGAAAGGAATGGGTCAGTCCATAGACTAGAAGAAGCACCAATAGCTTATATGTTAATTGTAAATGTTTAAGTAGTTGATAAAATTTGAATTTTTAATTAACTCTACTCAAATATTAAAATTTGGGTACAAACCATTAAATTCAAAGTTTCACATTGTTTTTTTGTTGATTTTTTTTTTTTGTATTAATCTCTTGATATTCAATAATTACATTGGGTCTCGACTAATTTGAAATCGAATTACGTTAGACCTCATTAGAGAAAAGCTCTCCCAGCGTTTGTTTTTCCATTCACAAGATTTGAACTCGAAATCTTGTTTAAGGAAAACTGATTTCCTTTCACTTAAACCAATGGGTTTGTTTGTGTTTTTTCGTTGATTGAGTGGAAACTAACCTTTGTACATTATCTTCATGAAGATGCGCTGATGGAATTTATCTTATGTGTGTCACCACATTTTCAAAAGACCATATTACCCTTAGGTTTTTCTTTCTCCCCTCTCCCACTCTTAATCATTAATGACGCCGGCAACCATGAGGGTGCCGAGCAGCAACAGTGCCCAGAATCGATGTTGAAGCTGCTGTCAAAATGAGCTGGAACATTTCTAATTTTCGGTTGCTATTTAGATATATCACCTTGACAAATGCTAGATCTAAGGGAGTGACTCCCACCACCAGAAACCACTCCAAACTAGCAGAACACTGCAAAAATAAACACAAAGCCCCAATAGCCATCTCAGTTGGGTGCCAACTTCCCCAGTCAAACTCCCCCAAATCCCACTCATACACAATTAATTAAAAA